TTTATAAACGTACTAAAACGTCCCATTACGATATATATGTCATATTGGGATTTTTTTTTTTTTTTTTTTTTTTTTTTTTTTTTTTTTTTGGTAAATGTGTCTGTTTTAATGGTTGATTTCGTTTTTATTTTTGGAGTGTTTATATAAACTCCTTAAGTTTAAGCTAAGCATACTCTGTACTATATGATTTCATCACGAACAATAAAACTTCCTCACCATTTTATGGATGTAGTTGACACATTGCTAGCGAAACACATAAAATCTATATATGTGTTCTTGTTTTTCAATAGCTTTCTTGCATATGTTAACACAAGTACTTCTCCAAGTTTCAAATATGACAATCTAGAGAAAATTATGAAAGGTTTTGGTGTTAAATAAATGAGGTGTACATCTAAGTGTAGAGTATCCAACACAGGTAATTGATCTAAATAAAATCAGAATAATATGTTTATATGTACACGTACACGCCCTAGTCTAAAATCCGACACAGATACTTGTTAAGAAATGTAAAGTAAGAAGAAATAAAAGGGAGTTGGTATATTAGGTTTAATAAGACTTAATGACAAGGTTTAGGCTAGGACAAGTGTACTATTTTCTCCAATAATTGGGGGTAAAGAGTAGCATTGTTTAATTATAAGTAATAAGGGCACCAATGATGGGAGATATAAGGCCTAAGTGGAGCTCTTTCTTTACACGCCTGAATGAAAAGAGGCATAGATTTTCATGGCTTGGACATTGGAAGCATTATTTTTGGTGTCCCCATTACTCTACTATTATGTCTTCTTCACATCAAACTCTCTTTCTCTCTCCTCTTTTCTAGTGGAAGCCAACTCCTCTTTCAACCATTTTTTAAAATTTTTGCTCTAAAATTTTCTGTTCATCTCAATGTTTTTTAGTGGACTTCCCTTTCACCACCTACCCTTTTTATAAATATTATTATTATATAGTTTTTTGTTAATTACTAATTAATTAATTAATTAAACTAATATAATTTTTGTAATATCCACTAATATCTAGCTAGAGTCTAGGCTTGGAAACAACAATTAACAACCTTTGAGGTGGGATCGGTTGAATCTAGGCACCCAATCACAAAGTATACATTTTTGATTGGGAGCAATTGCCTCGTAATGTTCATTTTGTTTCTAACAACTCAAATCTTATAAAATCTTGTCTCCTTTACCTCCTAATATATTCACAAATATTCCTTGGATCAATTGCTTCTTGAGAAAGTATTAACCATTAGCTCCGTATAATTGGCCTTGTGATTAATAATTTTCATATATCGAGTTAATCCATTTCTTTTTCACGAACAATGCTAATCCACGTTACTCGAACAATGTATTTTACTTCAGTTATTCATGTCAATACCTCGATATGCCATCAAACTTGTGTATGGACATTTATTTAACATTAACACCTACTTCGGCATTCAATTTGGAGTAAGGACATGACAATATGTCGTAAAATACTATGTAATTTCATATAACAATTGGATACGTTGTAGAACCTAGTAACACAGTTATTTATTGATTATACAGTATTTGAAATTATGGAGAATGGTGCAAGAAAGTTCAAGAAAAGAAGCAAAAGCTTTTCTTACTCCTTTGGCTTAAAACCTTGAACCACTCAGCTCTTTTGTTTTTATCTGTTGTTGTACCATCATTCAGTGATTTGTGTGAAAGACAGTTAGAATGGATATACAAGGATAATGTGATATCTTTTTTTGCTTTCATACATTTGTATTTTGTTCATTATTGGAATTACAAGTTATCAAATGTAATCCAGTAAGATAAATGGAGAAATTAGTTAGTTGGAACTTGACAAAGTTGTCCTGGAAGGCATAATCAACTTTTTATTTGTCATAATCTATCGTTCTAGATAGCGTATTCTTTAAGTTTATCTATATCTCTTATACAAATCGCGGTACATGATGAGTGCATTGTATATATATTTATAAGATGTATCGTTAATGCGTACATCCAATGTATGTATGTATGTATGTATATATCCTTGAATTTATATTTCCTTAACTAGTATATTAGATGACCTAGATTGAGGTGGAAGAATTCGAGGCATGCCAAAGTTGATCATTACTGCGCCGTGTTTATATTGATGTTGATATGTTGTTTGGCAAGCCTATTATACAAATTAAATGTATGCATTCTAAAAATAGAATTATGATCTCAATACTTATCCATGTAATTTGGACTTAGCAGTCAGCAAATTCTATTTATGGAACACCATACTTTCCTCCTTGATGGGATCTTTTCCTGAATGATGAGCTAGGTACCTACATTTTACTTCATCCTAACAAAAATTCTCTCTAGTACATTGATCAATCAAATAAAGCGAAAACGTAGTTTTCCTACTAGGTTTCCACTTGAGTGTCAACATTAAAGAAGAGGCAACTGCTCGCGCCCATTGAAAAGATAGGGCGCGAGCAGGGCACTTCCTTATTGTTTTTTTTTTTTCAAGTTGGAGAAGCTCCAAATTAAATATTAGCCGTAATATATAACCTTTAATCGTTACCTTATAATGGAAAGCTTCTTTTGGGGGAAAGAAAAAAAAAATAAATAAAATAAATAAAAATGCTATTAGAATCGTTTGAAGGGAAGTGGTAGTGTGCCTTAAATGACTTAGAAAAGTTTGACAATGATGTGATTTACTTTGGCTCCGACTTACATTCCTTAGAGCCATTCAGTGATGTTTTATGTTACCCGGACTCTCTAAAACATATATTAGATATGGATATATCATATGCACTCAAGTTTCAAACTTGACAATTTAGTTATGAAAATTTCTGTTATATGTCGAGTCAGATTCATACCTAGATCACAATATCGAAGATCCTAGTTATTGGTGTAGTACTCGAGTTAAAATGAAAAGTCCAATTATTATTGTTCAATTGAAGTTGGATATCTCTGACTCTTTTTCCATTAACTTTTACAACTGTTTAATATGGCTCACATATGTTGCTCAATAAAATGCTTCTAGTGCAAGTACAGCAGACTTACAACACACTACCTCTGATAATACTGTTCTTTACCTTTAATTTAAGCATTAATAATGTAATTAATCAAGTAATTAATAATTAAAAAGTATTAATTTTGTATAGAGTTTAAGTATAGCAGCCAAACTGACATTGTTTATTTTAGGTAATGGTGGCTAACTGACACAGTGACACTTGTAAATTAATTTTTGATCTTTCTTTCAGTTTCAGGTGGGATGCAATTATTATGATGCTTTTGTGGGATAATCTTTTATGTATTAGTTTACTATTATGGCATAATATCTAAACTATACATAAAGATTATACTCTTTATCTTTTTCTATTATTCTGCAGTTTATTTGCATTTTATCTTAATTAAACAAACAGAATTTGATCCCTGTGTATCAGATTTTACTTAGTTTTTTTTTATATTAAAGTGTGTACTGGAACAATGGTCTCTGGTAATTGGTACTCTTACAGTCTCTTTTTAGATATCGTACCTTTGCTTTCACATTTCAGGGCATGGAATTTCGATTAGTTTTTGCCGTATAGGTCTTGTATCTATGCATCGAGTTTATTAATACAACAGAGATAATGTAAAGTTATCCCTTTGCGAAGCTGACTTTTATGTGATTTGAGGTGACTGAAATTATTACTTACAATGCACATATAAAAGTTTTTGTATTAGCCTCCGATCTCATACCCAAGTTGTAGGAGGGAATCGTCCGGGAGAAAAAGTAGAGAGGAGGGACTTTAGCATATTTATTTGACTAATGGCAAATTGCTTCTAAAGTTGTATATTCTATTTATGTGAGAAGTTTGGAAATAAATAGTCATTGAAGATCTTAATATTCGCAATTTACATTACCTATACAAAGAATCATTATAGAGACGACAAATATCCAAGTGTTCTATTTTTATATATTTTTTTTTCCCTCGAAAAATGACTAAGACAAAGGTAAAGATATATATTGATATAAAATTACGATTCAAAAACTAAAGATAAATTTCATAATCCATATGATGTTCGGAATTTTGTGACTTTTCTATAAGACGGATAAAGAGTGTTGTAAAAATTGCACATGGTACGCTTGTTGTAAGGACTATATATCCAATTAAGTGCAAGTGGCAACCTTTTTATCAAATTTTCAACAAAGAACATAATTAATTCTATTAGCTTCCTTATATTTTTTCGAGTCAATTTCAATCTCGAGAGACCAACAAAAGAATAAATGATATGTGAAAGATTTATTCACAAGTGGAGCATTAAAAAGAAATATTTTTAAATGACCATCTTTATGGTAGTTTTTTAGAGTTAATGAAGATATTGGAAGTGTTTAAAATAAGATGTTGGAATTTTACATTAGAAAAAGTTCTACCATACTGTATAAAATGTGTAGTAACTAGTTTACTTCATATGTAGTTTGATTAAATGAGGATCAAGGAGCGGAGGAATGGTTAGTTCTTCCCCCCCCCCCCCACCCCTTCAATATTAGGGGGTTCGATCCTCATCCCCCCTCCTGTGATAGGAGGGGTCTCCCCCTATATTACCGTTTCAAAAAAATATAGTTTGAATAAATAATTTTCACTATTAATGATCAAGTCAAAGTCCAATTACATACTTATTAGAAGTAAGTTGTCGACTTGTCGTTCGATATGCAAAACAGAATAAATAAAAGTGACGGATCAAACTATCTAGTTTTATAAAACTTATGTTTCTAAGTTAAAGAGAAGACGACCTAATTATGATCAATTAATAATGAATTTAGGCAAGTGTTCTATATTTTTGGAATATATTAAGCTCCATATACAAAGAAGAATGGTTTCTTCTCGGATACTCTTGCATATTCCTTGGAATTTGTTATCAAACAACAATCTTCAAAGGTTTTCTTTTTCTTGTATAATAAACGTACATAGAATGTATAGGATTCGCTAGTTCAATGTTGTGGTTGCTTTATGCTCCAAGAATATATACAATAAACTCATTATTATAAAAAGTAGATGTAGATTCCAATTTGCAATATATATTTTCCACTAATATATTCACCATGGAAAATTAATAATTACATAGGTATCCTGAAACTTACGATCCAACATAAAGCTACTTAACAACAAAATCCGAGGGGAGTATTTGATTTTCAAATCCCCCTTTTTTTCCCTCCCTACGTACTAATATTACATATTGCTTGCTTAGCTTCTATTTCATTTCATTGCCATAAACAAAAATTAAAAACTAATTACACAATCAACCCCATTAGCAAAAATATTACGGGGTTTGAAGTTGATTGTTCTTGTTTAATTATCTTCATCAGGTTCTATAGTAACCACGCTGAGATACTTGCTTCCATTCCACCATCCGTTGTAGAAAGCACATTACCTAAAAAAGTCGAGTTTTCAAAACAATAATTAGTAACCATTAAGTACGATTAGACGGCCCAAGTGCTAAATTTATGATTAATAATCGAGATTATAATATAGTAATTAATTACCTCAGAGGGGTCTTGTAGGGTATAAGCAGCAGAAGTTTCCTTAGGAAACTTTGAAACAAGTATACCAAATCCTTGTTTTCTCTTCCTTAGAACTTTAAATGCATCTTCGTCGGTTTTATCATCTCCAATGTAAATTGGTAAAACATCTTTAGAGTTTGCATAACCTGTTAAAAAGAATAAAGTTAATATAAGATGTATAAAAATATAAAAAATAAATAAATAAAATAAAAAAATATTCTAACAAAGTTAAGGATATATTTATTATAATATATAAGGTAGCAAAAACTTACCAAGTGCCTCCAACAAATATTCAAGTGCCTTGCCTTTGTCCCATTTAATGGTGGGCTTGATTTCTAGTACCTATAATTTCAGTCAAACAACATAAATATCATGAGAATAATTCTATTTTATCATCATATAATAAAATTTTTATATGTAATATTGAAATTTAATATACTATGTACATTCTACATACCTTTCTTCCATAATTCATTTTCAGCTTAGGATAGTCACTAAGAACTTCTTTCACAAGCTCAACAAGTTCAGGCCATTTCTGAAAATTTATACAAGAAAGTAACCATTACTATACTGTCACAAATGCCGAAGTGACTCGAAATAAAATATGATTGATTGGTTACAACAAAATATACCTTCTCTTCAACGCAGCGAAAATGGACTGATAAACAGAACTTGTTACTTTCAACTTTAGCACCTTCGATAAACTGAGTTTTCACGACCAACTTTTTGTACACTTGATTGATCATTGGTAAAAACTCGCTTGCAGGCTGGCATACGACCGATTTATCGTTGGTACCGTGTGCCGGTCCTTCGATGTCCATACCGTGGCTGCCCGCGTAATACAACTCCTTAAGTTTCACAAAGTCGTGAACCTAGAGAAAAAAGTACAAGAAATAATTATATTTTTGTTAGTTAGGCCAAGAGAAAAAATATAAATATATACTAGTATTTACTGTATATGTTTTGTTAGAGTAATAGTGTATGTTCTAAAAATAGAAAATTACAAGGTTATAATGTACCTTGTCCTTGCCTCTTCCGCTTACAATAGCAGTAGGAAAGTATCTCGCCACTGCTTTCACCGCGGCTCTCATCTGATCCAATGAAACAATCGAATTAATAAGAAATGAATGTTACGGCGAAATTTGTTTAATAACAATTTGTTTGGTAGGTGGTAATAAATGACGGTACAAACCTCGTCGGACATGAAAGCGCGATCAGGGTCTTGAACAATGGGTGAAAGAGTACCATCGTAATCAAGGAACATGACCATTTTCTTTCCTTTAGACGCTTTCGTGATCTCGTCGAACATTTCCAATGCTGATGGGTGTGTCATCTGATTATCAACGCGATTTTTTGAATTATTAAACTTTGTAATAATAATAATAATAATAATAATAAGGTAAAAATAATGGTAATCAAATTTTATTTATGTTATTACCATCCAAGAATCATGCTCAGGAGAAGAAGGCGGAGATTTAGCAGGAGAAGAAGCTCTCATAGAATCAACCCAAGCATTAATCTTAGTTGGACCGCCTTGAGTCTCAAGCTTCTTAACGGGCTTTCGGCGTATAAAACGCCCGGCAGACGAAGCCGGGGGCTTCGGCACAGCCGGGGAAAATAATGATGGGTTAGACATAGCCATGGCAACAGCCACTTTCATGCTCGTTTTCGCATCGGAAACGACTACATTTTGGTTAGTCATTTTCTCTGGTTCTTGTTGTTGTTGCTTCTTCTGGTGAAAAACAATAACAAGAAAAGGAAGAAGAATTTAAGAGAGAAGTAAGTTAAGTAAAAGTAGAGAGAGAGACAGAGGAGAGAAAAACAGGGGAAATGAAATAAGAGAAAGAGTTGGAAGACACAAGTAAAAAGAAAGGGGGGAAGTGGAGTCAATTTATAACTTGTTCGAAGCACAAACAGACGAAACTACCTCTTCCTTTCCAGCTCTTTGTATAAGAGTAACTTTCAAAAGCATATGTCTTTCTTTTAATGCTTCATTTTTATGGACCCTACAATCTATGTTCTCTTCTTGCCCCCACCATATTATAACATTTTTTTATGTGTATATTTGTTAAAAAATATATGAAAATTGAATGAATGAATGAATGAATGATGGATTCCTATTTTCTACTATTTCTACATATATGAGTGATACAATAATATAGAATACTATTGAGTGACAATTATGTAATAGAGACATCCATAATTTAAATAGCTTACATTCATATTGTTTTGAGTTCGGTATCTGCTGAACACCCTGAGAAACTGAAAGTGACAATCCGTTTATTTCAACGGTTGTTTAGTATAAAGTTGTAACATTAATCAGGATGATGATGATGAAAAATAATTCGAAACTTTGATGTTATGTGTTAATGCATGTTTGATTAGTGATATGTAGCGATATTAGAGTAGAAGAACCTTCCATCCTAATGATATTTTTCCACAAAAGTGATGAATTTTGTATTTAGATTAAGAAAGACTAGAATTGATTCTTGTGATTTATCATACGTATTCATGGTGCAACAATAAAATATCAAACTACATATTCCAATTCAAAAGCATGTATTTTAAAAGATACTACTCATAAAGAAAAGAAAATTACAAGATAAGAGGTGTTATACCATATTCATGGATTTGTGTACTTTGAGGACAAAGTTAGCAACTTCAATTCAACTAACAAATGCCCGAAATCTCAAGAATTGCTCTCTAATTAAGTTGCAGTTACTACTTTAGAAAGAGATAGAGTTTGAAAGTATTAGTGGTGCTCACTATGAATGTTACAATGAGTTAGCAAAGAGTAAGTAGTGAGTATTTATAGACGTTGTTGAGAGTTGAGACTAGGTTACTAGGGGATCATACAAAGCATACTGTGGAATCTTAGGATTAAATTATGTTTTAATTTGCTAAACCTATATGATAAAGTTATTTTACATTATATCTCCGACGTGGTAACTAATTGATGTTTACGTTAATGGTATTATTATCTGTAAAAAAAAATATTATAAAATGACAAAAAAAGGTAGCAGATTTCACCACATCTTACAGATTTACAGTGTCAATCTCATTTAGAAAAGCAATATACTTGTAGGGCCATGTGAGAGATAGAGAAAAACCTTTTCATAATCTTGAATTATTTCGACCATTGTTTAACTATGTATGGTTTCATACATTGATACCAAGTTCCTTTTCTTTTCTTTTCTGTTAAATGTTTAAATAATACTTGTACATTATGTTGATTATTGCAATATTACATACTAACACAAATTGGGTAAATATGTAATTTATTAAAGTAAATAACAGAATTTTCCAAAAAAAAAAAAAAATTGTACATATATCATGAAGATCGAGAAAATGTGGTCATCATCTTAATACAATAATACTTAAGAGTTAAGCAATGTATGTAGTACTTAGTACATAGCAATATAGCATAACAGAAGATATTTTTCTCTTCCACTAATAAAACAAACCAACAAAAAAAGAAAATGATCTTTAATCAACAAGTTAATCTCAAGAACTACTGCATTTTTTCGATTTTAGTCATGAAATTGTAAATGTTAACAATCAAGAAATTCCTCAAGTGCCAATTTTAAAAAAAAAAATTAAAAAAAATTGAAATTATACACTACTACCTTTTACTCTTACTTCAAGCTAATATATATGACTGGAATATAAATAGCACCTCTTCTCGTATTGGGGAGGTCCACTTTAAAGATGCAGTCCATACTTCTATATTAAGTGAAGTGAGGAGTGCCCCTTTCAATTATACAAACATTAGTAGTCTCTTTTTAGTACTGTTCCACATTCGAGAAAAAAAAAATAAGTTTTGAATCTAAGAAAGAGGTGTTCTCTTTTGCATTATAACACCAACTGACGCATAAATTTGTTACAAAATTTAAAATTTTATTTGAAATACATACTTATAAGTAGCATTTACACGTTATGATGTATCTCTCTATTGAATGACTATAGAATACTCGAAATCCAACAAAATAACAAACCATTATTATGTGCATATTTCTTTAATTTACTATTAGATGTTGTTGTAGGTAGCAAAACCCTATGAGATTAAGATATCATTCATAAATCAAGCTTGTTTCTGTTAGTGAAAATTCCCAAGTCATTACTTATTAATTGTACCTCTACTTACTTATGAAAGGTTGTATCCTTGATGAGTGTACACGAGGTGGGCATGTAATACAAATAATAAAATTCATATAATCTTAAATTCTAGTGCTTTAAATTTTCTTGCTTTTAATTCTTCTGACGTTGAATAGGTGTATATGAGTCGAGGAACATACATACTAGAGTGATTAGGAATTTAGGATATTGAATCATCCGACTGTTCACTAATTCACATGAGACAACAAACATATGGCATGTTTTACATGAATAGCAATGCCTTTTAATATTTCTAAAATTTTGTGTTTAGCCTTCACTGACTCGGATTGTTGCACCACTTGCATGAACAATGGTGACTTTTAGTTATGAAACAACGGAAGTGAAATAAAAAAGAACATTGCATGATTAATATGATGAACAAGTATGGGGAAAACCACACCAATGTACGTCAATAATCCATTAACAATGTACTACATGATATGGCTCACTCTCGTACGTGAAATTGATAAATTGATTTATTGACCATTAATTAATCTATTATTCTTGACATCATAATATTTTGTTTTAAAAGAGTGCATATAAGTAGCTCAATGTTTAACTACTAAATGTTCAAAATTGAGGTTGTATGTTAAAACTTCAATTGTAGTGACCATTTTTCTAGAGAACATTTATATTATACTTTGTAATTAGCATAATTTGATTTGTATTCCGTAGCATATAATTATGGGGGGGGGGGGGAATCACTTGTTAGACAAGGTATTAGTTAGCGCCCATTTCATATTACGTTGTTATTGAGTATGTTTTGTTGACTCTTTGACATTGATAGTTGAATTATGACTTCCGTGGTAGGATTGCATTATTAAAGTTACTTAAATTAATAAAAAGTGGGACGTAATTAATTAGTACTCCTTATGTTCCTAATTAATGTTATTGTTATTGGTTGAAAAATGTAATTATGTATAACCATGGTTGCGAGATGAGTATTCAACATTGGCTGATTTTGTTCATTTTTGTAAACCCACTCGGAAGTGAATTGAAAGATAATTAATGGAATAATATGATTTAATTTGTAGGTTATTAGTGTAAATGAGCATGCATCGAGTTATTATTAATAATAGTGGCAAATAAACGCTAATTGAAATTCAATCGAGCAAATATTTTTATAATAAATAAATTTTAAAGTGTCTAATATAACTCCACTGAAATCCAATACTCCATATCTTGATCACTATAATTAGTATTTAATTATTTATTATTGTCCTTAAATTTATCTTTTTTTTTTTAAGTAAAAATTTATCTAAACTTAAAATCCTTCATCTGAACTTATTTTTCCGTGAAGTAAACACTACTTGTACATATATAAGGTAAACTCGAAGTCAAGTCACTATCATATTCTTCTACCACAAATATAAATGCATGGCACTTACAAGTTCTAGCCTTTTACGAGTATTAATTTTACTAGTGGCGAAATATTGTGGTACGTACTACGTGGTAAACAATGATGAAAATACACCCCCACAACAACCTCTTTTTTTAGCAAACCGTACCTACTCGAACATTACATATAATTTATGCATCACTTGAATTAAATTACATACAAAACTTTGAAAAAGAAAGAAGAAAATCGTGGGACAAAATAGAAAAAGGAAAAGGCGCCCCTTGTAAATCAGAAACTAGCAGCTCATACTATTAGCAAATATCAAAACAGTAAGCGTTTGTTCGTTCGTTCGTTCTTTAATTTTATTTATTTATTTTGGTTAGTTGGTGAATGAATGAGAACTAACGTTTCAATTGAGTAGTACAAGTACATTTTAGCATATACTTATATTTATATTTGTTTGTTTATGAATTATGATCATGTGCTCATGACTTTTCCGCCTCTAATACATCAGTCACGAGTAGAATTTTATTATTGGACGAAATTAATTAATTTCTCTTGTATATATAACTACTAGTAGTAGTTTTTATTACACAAAATTTAATTATTTATAATGTTACACAAACTTTGATTGTATATTGAATATCAATCCTTGCTCCATTTCTTTATCAATTTATGTTTTTATTGTCTTACACTCTTACTCCATACATAATTATAAAAATGAGATGCGGAAAAAAATGGAGTTAATTAGGAAGAAGTGTTACGAGTATTATTTTGGGATGTAAAAAAATTTTAAGTGAAAAACATCAAATAAAGTAGAGAAATATGAGAAAGAAAAAAGAAAAAAAGTATTGGTTATTTTTGAACAAATTATTGAATAAGTATTAGCAAAGGGAATTTATTATGTTAAATATTATAATGAGAGAAGAAGATATTTATAGATTATAATTGGTGAGACATTACATCCTTGTTGATCCAATCAAAAAATAAGGACTTGAATTTAGTTATATAATCATAAATTTATGAAAAAGGGACATATCACAAAAGGTTTTAGTTACTAAATATTTCAAATAAACTTCTTATAATTTTATTTTGAGTTTAATTGCCTTTTTTAAAGAAAATATTTACGTACGACTAGTGTATTGGTTCTCAACCAATTTTATTTAAATTGATCAATTATGTTTGTTGGAGTGGCAACTAAAAATTCAGAAATTTCAGGCTACTCTAGATTCCTCCTAATGATTTATCCATGCGTGTTCATGAATAGAATCATATTTAAGGACCACGTGCTTTATTTGTCACTTTGAAATGGATCTAATTCCCACCCATTTATTTGACATTTATGTTGTATTTTCTCTAGAATTCTCTTTTTCAGAGCCAAATCAGTGGGGTGAAAGGAAAGGTTGGTGCTATGTAAAAATTTCACATTTATATTTAGTGAAAAGGATTATAATTACCCAAAATGGAAAAACAAAAATCAAAGAATATATGAATATTTTATACTTTTTCCGACTAAAAAATACCCTCGTGTATCACCGAATTCACGATAATTAAAAATTTAAAACCTAATTTGTCCTCTTCAATTGTACAAAGAAAATGAATAATGTAATTATGCAAAGTAAAATAATCCTTGTATCAATCAACGAAATTAACAACATTGCCAATCCATTATTTAATTAGTTTGACCATTAAGATCACCCAAAAAAAAAATATGAATGATGAGAAAAAAAAGCACAAAAAGAGAGAACTAGAAAAGAGGATGCTGAATTTCATAATATATTTCGTATGACGCTAGTTTTTATCCATGAATGTATGAAATAATTACAGTATAGAATAATTAACTAATATATTTTCATACTCAATTTTTTGTAAAGAACATCCTCGATTTTAAGTAATCAACAATCGTGCACTTATTATATCAATAGTCTCATTAGTAGGTTCTACTTCGTATGAAATATTAGGACATCTCCAATAGTTAGGATGGAGCCGTAGGATCCCTTAATTATATGGCTTCTCATAGCTCAAACTTCTTTCTTTGATTGGGAGTACGTCAAGATTTAGCTTGTTTTGACTAAATACCTAAATACGGTTACACACTCCATTAATGGTCAAAAGGCAACAATGCATGCATTCGCCATAGCTACATACACATTCAAACAATATCACAAGGGGTAATGATATAGATAAGATCTAATCTAATATCTTGTATGAATCAACCCTCGTAACTTTATCCAATAATCAAGCTAGAATCAACCATTAATAGAAATTGTGCGGCTATATATCGCCTTAAAA